ATGTTACAATGGAAATAAATGAAGAATTTACAGATGACTACGAAATCCCATCATCAGATGCATATATAGAATTTGTTGAAAATTTCAAAAAAATAGTAAGTATTGTTGTTTAGATGGCTTGATCACTTAAATGTTATTGCCCAGAAACTTCAGGAGGTGATGTGTCTGCATACATTTACTAAAAAATGACATTTGCATACATTTACTAAAAATGACCAGTTGATTAAAAGTGCAGTAATTTAAGTGAAGTTAGTTACGTTAATTCTGAAAAAAGCTCTAACTTTTAATCACTTGTTTGCAGATGCCTCTGTGTATGATAAGTTGTTACTTATGCAATATTTTTAAGAGTGGCCTAAGTGTTCTAGACCTCCTTCACAAACAGTATTTTGGACAGTGGAGGTCATAATTTTTTGGTTTGAAATATTACAGATATATTTTATACAATTATAGGTGGTGCCCATTTATAAAAACAAAATAGAAAATTTTTTGCGTGTGGACAACATAATTCTAAGGTAATTCATCTACTTTGACAGCACAAGCTATTTTGTCATTACAAATATCAAATATGCCCTTATAATATCTGACTATTAAGTCTTAATTCAATCTCTTTTTTTTCATGTCAAAGTGCTGGTGGACCATTACAACAACATAGTCAAAGAAGAAGAAGAAGCTTGCCTTTGAAGGAAACTAAAAGGTAACAGTACAAAATGTAATAAACCAAACATGTATACAGTAACAAATACTTTCAAATAATAAATCAATCCAAACCTTGTATTATACCCAATCCAAGAGAACCTAAATTTATAAATAAACACTAAAAAATACACCAATTAAAAAATTCTTTAAAACTTGTAATTTTTGTATTTCCTTTCCTTTTCTTTTTTTAAGTGATGCGGCTAGTCTGAAAGTTGAGCATGATGTCCTTTTTAACATCGATAATAACAACGAAAGCGAGGATAATTATGAAAATATTGTTAAGGAAGTGAAAGGCGTTCTTTTTGACATTAAAAACAAATCAGGTAGGTCATCATATGCATTTTCCCTGTGATCTAAATTGTTATTGGATACATTATTAATCTGTTTCTTAAATTTTTTTTTTTTCAATTCTAGTCTTTGTTGTTAATAATGCCACTGCATCAAAGACTGATCTCATTGGTGAGTTTTCATTTAACTTATCGTGCTAGGAGCAAGAAGAATAGTGAGTTATTCTATATAATATTAATTAGTTGTCTCATTTTATTGAATTATATACTCTATACCAAATATGTTCTTACTTTTTAAGTACTGAGTGAACTATTGAAATAACTGAAATGAGTTTTAATGTGTTTTAATGTTTGATGTATATTGAATGTATATTTAAACATGCTGCATAAGTTTTCAACCATAGTTCTAAGAGGAGGTACAGAGATCAACAAAAGAAGCTAAAAAAATGCATAGGTCATTGGAGGGAGTTTTGCTATAAATACAGTAGATTCGTAAGAAAGCATGTTTGGAGTACATACAAAATGCAGAAAAGTGTTGCTGTTGTGCAGTGAGACCAAAATATGGCTTCTCAGCTAAAACCCAAAACAAGTGAGAATTTGATGCTGGTCACACCTTAAAATCATCAAATTACAGTGTTGGCTGCATGGTGTTGTGAGGTTGCTTTTAATGTTTAATGATAGGTCATTGTGTTAAAAGAGAAGAAATAATGGATGTTGAAAAATACAGGGAAATCTTAGAGGAGAAGTTTCAACAGTTGAATGGTCCCAAGCACAAGGCCAAATTAACATACGATTTTTATTAAAATCAAGGAATTTTTGAAGTGTCTGAATGCTGTAATTTATTCATTTTATTTGATCTATTATGACTGCTGCATTTTTTTATTTCCACAGTCAAAGAGGTGTGTGCCAAGGCTACGAACATTTTTCCTGAAGATTTCCAAAAGTATTTTGAAGCAGTTACGCTGGGTGGCAAAGTGACATGTGTGACTCCATGCGATGCAGCTCATAGTGATCCGAAAATTTTAAGAACAGCGGCCCCTGTGAAAGTTTCTGGTCAGGGCCCATCCTGCTAGTATGTACTTTTGTTTACTTTTATATTCTTTACATTTTCTAGACTGACAAAGAGAGGTACTTCTTTCTTTAGGGGGTGTGGTGGTTAAAGATCTGGGCTGGAAACTGGAATGATTTAAATGAAACGAAAGCTAAAGTTGTACAAAAATATGCAGATGTTTCTCTGAACATTTAAAAGGACTTACAATGCATTTTTGCTCTAGTTGCCGCTATAATGATGACTTCTGGTACTTGGGAGCAGATTGCAATTTACAGGTGCACAAAGTTGGATTTTATGCTGGATTGGGAACAGTGGCAGCCATAGCAGTAATAACTGTAGCATTCCTGACAGCTTATCTCATTATAAACAAACGGACGGTGAAGAGGTAAGTAATTTCATGCACTTTATTAAACTGCTTCAGTTCAGCAATGTACTTGTGATGTCTGGTGTCATGTGGTCTTGAGGACATGCCAAGGCAATGCAATCATGTTAAGGTCAGGAGGACTTTGATTGGGACACTTCAGAAGGCATGTTTTCTACTGCAGAATAATTTACTCCTGTGCTTTGGATCGTTGACCTGTGGCATCACCTGTCATCTGTTGATCATCAGTTAGCAGACAGATGGCCTGCAGAATGCATGTAAAATTGTAAAAATTCATGTTTCCGTTGATGATAGCAAGCTGTTCGGACCCTGTGAACAGAAGATCATGGCAAGATCATTATGTTCTGATGGATTTGCAGACAAACCTAACAGTAGATTTGTTCAGCAAATGCTCTGAAATAACAATTGATTAGCCACTCTCAAGACCAGAAAAGCAGGCTGCCTGGAGCAGTTTACTGTTAATTTGACACATTTCTAATATTATTTTATTATTTAACTGTACTCCTGAAATACAGTATATGAAGGCTGCCATCCTATGCAATTCAAAACAGCCCCCCTAAAAATATGTGGAAAATCTCTTATTTACATGGCTATATCAATGTGGTATGTGTATCAGGAAAAAAGAGGGTGTTTTCATGAATAAATGTGTTTTTATGCCTTCCTGTCCATAACTTTATTTCTGTCTCACAGGAACAAGGACATTAAGCAAGAGCTAGTGAAAGAATGGTTAGAGGATGACTTTGAATGGCCACCACAAAAGAAAACATCAAACACAGGTAGCAAAAAACAAAACAAAACAAAACAATACATTTTCTGCATCATTCAATAATTATTACCTGTAGGTGGTACCTGAATATTTGAACCATTCACCAAATTATTATTTCTTTTGTGCACAGTTTTCTAAAATTAACAATACTGTTCTCAGTAAATTAGGTAGATAAATACTTGGTATTAACCTGAATAAATCATGGATGCAGTATATTATTCCAAAATGAAAAAAAAGAGTTAAATTACATATTTTGTGAACCTGTTGTGATGTAATATAAACTTGCCAAGAGAGAAGGATGGGGCAGTAAAACTATATTTGACCTGACAGCCTGTGTGTGAAGTGCTGTTAATTTCACAAGTAAAGATGCACAGTGCATATTTAGGATCTAAGCATACTCAGGAGTTTCTTGGTGAGTTTGATTAAGACTAGACTAAGCTGCAACAAATGTATATTATGGCCACGTTCACACAGCAGCAGAATACGATTGTCAGTCATGTGAGTCCTTAATACGGTTACGTTCACACACAGTTCGGTTATTTACGGGTGTGACAACCGCATTCTGTAACCGAACTCACACCTGTAAATTTTCAGGACTCACAACCGCATTCTCGGAACACACGCGCTGTGTGAACGGAACCGGACTGGACAACTAGTTGTCTGTCACGTCATACAGTGCGAGACGAGAGAGCGCACAAACGCGCGTCTACCGTGTGTTACGTGTTTTCATGTGTGTTTTCGGTCACTTACAGTGATGGAGAAATGAGCTGCGTGTCATCTGAACGTTTCAGATCCCGTCAGTTTTCCACCGGAGCCGCTCCCGTCAGTTTTGTGTTCTGCGCGCGATTCAAATGCTCCGCTCTCCACCAAAATTTAATGAAGATTTGACTAAATAACTCGCGGCTCGATTGGACTCTTGCCCTGTCAGAAAGTGATACGACTTTCAGTTTTATGGACGTCGCCATCTTTGATTTTACTTTGGTCACTGTCGCTATGGTTACTGGTAATGCACGTTCATACAGACAGTATTCTAAACACAACTGTAAACTGCTGTGTGAACGGGACATTTCGAGACTCACGCTTGTAAAGAAAATGCGGATTCTCAATCCCCAAAAATTGACAGTGTGAACGTAGCCTAAGAGCATTGTAGTCTTTTTTTCTTCATGGGATATTCATTTTATAGTTTAACAAGTCTCTGATTAATCAACATACTTTTTTGTTTTGTATTTCCAGTTGACAGATATGATAACCCAGTATACTCACCAGGAGGCAGACATACACAGGACAGTTTCGGAAACTATAAACCAGATTTCTCTTACACCCAGAATTTCTCACCTGAACCTGGTATTCATCTCCGGTATCTTCAGAGGGATCAGTCTGTGAGTACTGAGAGGATACACAAATATACACTTAGCAACATATGCTGTTCTTACAAATAGTCCGTATACAAAACTAAGCTACTACACCCAGCAACAGGGCTTCACTATAATTATCTTTCTTAATTTACTTATTTATCTTATCTGGTTAATAAAGAAAAGACACATTTTAATTTCTGACCTTTACACAATTACATATTTCCATAGAAGGTACTCGTTACAAATAACCAATGATTTTTCTGTTGAATTGAATGGAATACAAGCATTGTAACAGCATCACCGTCATGGCTTTTCCATAATTCCTCATTCCTTGTTTTGCTCTTAACAGATGAAAATGGACAGACCTCAGATCCGTTCATCTTTTGATATTTAATATTCTATGTGTGTGGAAACAAGCATTACAGCTTTGTATGACATACTGAATGTATATATTGCTTGGTTTAAAAATATGCAGTCTTGATCCATCAAAACTCAATCAGTTTGCTAGAGCATTCTATTTATACCATTCAATTTAGCAGTTGTACAATTATGCATATTTTCTGTACCTCAGATGTGTGACAAACATTATCTGACCATATTGTGTTTTATCACATGATGAAGAGAAGCAGTAGAACTTCAGCTATGCCCTGCTTATCTTCAGATAAGTTATTAAAATAATCAATGTAGTAAAATTAGATATCTAGTAGTTATCTTTTTTTATAGGTTTTACTTTATTGCTCCTTTAGGTATCATTTCTTATCATTTTTATTCATAATGACATTGCATTAATATAAACTGCTTTGTAAATTACACATTAACCACAAATTATTTATTATCATTATACTCCACACATTGTTTGTAAATTGACACTTGCTTATGTTAAAATAAATTATATTCTCAGTTGTTTGTTTTATTGTCTTTTTCCTCTGTAAATGCAATCAAACACATGAACAACAAAGTGATATTCTTGAGCTATTGTGTATTGCTCTATAAGAAAACACCAAATATCATGAGCTCGCAAAGAGGGGCAGAGAATCTTCACAAAACAGCATTCCCAATTACTTTCATGCCTCTTCTTTTCAGTACTTTTTAATGTTTTCCTATTCACAGACACAACAAAAGCACAGTTAATGGGGCTTCCTTACTGTATATTCTACCACTCAATTTATTCCCTTCAGATTACATTGTTAAATTTTTTTTAGAGATTTAATCACTTTGGCAATACTGAATATTATCCTCAACATTTTAAAAATGCTAGTCTTATTTTAAGATAATTGCTTTCAAATTGTGATTTCAACTTTCCAAAAAGTTGTGTGTGTGTGTGTATTTTAGCCTAGAGTTTCACAAAGTGAGCTGCTTTATCTCAGATATCTTATCAACAGCATGTCAAACAATGTGCTGGATGGTGAGTTATACAGATCATGTTGGGTGCGACGCCACACATCGAACAGATAAGCAGGAAAAAGAAACCGATAATCAGCTGCGCTGCAATCAGTATTGAGAAATGTTACAAATGGTAGCATCACTTAACTTGATGTACCTAGATCTCTGTGGTGCAATGAGACTCATGGGTCATTGTGTAAACATATTACTCACTCTATGGGTTATGCTTTACTAGGGGTAAACCCTTCTGTTTGTGTACCGTTTTGTTTATAATATTTTTTCTGCACCAAAAAGCACCAAAGACCATAATTCTCAGAGATCTTGGTGGGATGGTTCCAAATCCCCCCACACGAGACAATAAAGGCAATCTAATTCTACTCAGGTACCGCTTTACACAACCGACAGACATTAGGTTGCGCTATAAGTACATTTGAATTTTGGTTCATCATTCTGGAACTGTAAGGGCTTCTGAATTCTTGAGCCAAGCTCAGAGAATCCATACATCCGATTTAGTTTAACTCAGGACATTCTTCCACTATTTAGAATTTTTATGGAAAACCTACCTTTTCTAACTCCTCCTGGGCTGTTGGTTCTATTTGCATGAAACTTGGCAAGCACCATCCCTGGCAAGGCCCTCATGACAAAAAGTTATCAAAACCATTCTGATTTATGGAACTAACCTAATAAAAAAGGAAAATATTAAATATTTCACTCAAAATAAAGTAATATTCTCATCTGGGACAGAATGAGGGTGAGTAAACATTTTCTCTTTAAAAAAGAAAATGTATTACTGCATCTTAAAAGTTATGCTAAAAGGAAATATTTACTAAACCAGGAATATGTTCCACTGTTTTGGTCACTTGGCAACCAGGTTTTGTTAATCAGACTAAACTCCAAACTTTGAACTAAAATGCTGTTCACTTGAGAAAACAAAATTCTCAGTTGCACCACAAAATTCCATTCCTCTCTAGTTTTTAATATATTCTTATTTTTATGACTTGGCAACAGTAGTGGAAGCCACAGGGAAATATTAAACTTAGGAGGGTGATTTTTGAGAGCCATCACTTTAAGGGCATCAGTACAGCTGCAGTTAAGTTTAGGAAGAGGGAAATCTTAAAATACTTACGATTAATTCTTCAGCACATTCATTTAATTACTTATTTTTTATGTCTTGGCTATTTTTTACAGCAAACTTATTTTAACAGAATCATCATTCTGAAATTTAAATATATTTATTACATATCAATATAACAGTATGAATACTTAATATGCACACATTTTCCAGGCAAAAGAACAACATCTGAACCTGTAGCAAAGTGAAACATAAGACCCACACAGAACGTTAATTAGTTGAATTCTGAAAAGCCTGAGACTGGCTAAGCATATCATTTCTCAGAATCTAGGGCCGATGTTTTCAGCAAGGCTACCGGAACTAACAAAGGATTGAGAGGACAGGTGCCAGCTGCAGCCCAGTCTTTTTTGTCCTTTGCTGGTTCTGTGACCGATGACTCACTGGAGGGCTCTTTAGTGGATCCCGTAGTAGGCCTGAGTTTGGGTGTTAATGCAGTAGAATCGGCTACATTAGCCTGTAGGACGTCCCTGTCACTGTTTGAAGAGGAAGCTGGCATTTCTGCAGGTTTGGTGAGCTGTGAGTGTAACTGGAGAAAATGATGTTGAAGTTCTTTGCAGTCCAGTAAGGAGAGCTCCTCAGGCAAACACATGAGCATATCCAACAGCACTGCACTCTCTGAGGATGGAATGTGCAAAATATGAGAGAAGAAAAAAAAGTTCTGTTCATACATCTAAAAAGGATAGTTCACCCAAAATGTTTTTGTAGATAAAGCGAAAGTCAGCGGGGTCCAAAACAACACTGATCCTCACTGACTTTCATTGTAAGGGAAAAAAAAAAAATTCTTTTTAAAGACATAACATCCTTGTGTTCTACAGAAGAAAGAACGTCATGCAACAAGATGGTAAGCAAGTAGATTGTCATTTTTGGGTGAACTATGCTTTTAAGTTGATCTAATTGCCACATTCCTGGAAAAATGTGTAAAATGGTCATGAAGAATGTAATTTATTCCAGTATTTAAAGGGGTCATGAACTGCCTTTTTATTATTTTGCACTGTTCTCTGAGGTCCACTTATATTGTTATAACAATTTTTACATAAAAAAACATCATAATTGAGAAAATAGGCTATTTTCTGTCCTGAACGCTCTGTTTGAATAGGTGTGGTGGATTGTAGACTCAGAAGTAAACGCCAACTGCTATAATTGGCTAACAGTTGTGTATGTTTGACAGCCTACATCCTTCATTGATGGATGCTGCTGTGATTTTGCAGCATCGTCTTTTACTTTCAATCTTTCTGAAAATCCTGCATTGAATTGTGCCTTGTTTGTAAATGAATCCACAGTAAAATGAAGTGAATAAAGGACAAAGTTCTTACTGACACGGTCTGGAACTACATTAAAAATAAAGTTCATCCACTCTTTCCTAATGTTGGGATCAGAAGGAAGGCAATGCAAAGAGTATGTTTTTCTACAACTTGGCACTGTACAGCATCTTGTTGTTTTTGGAGCATCTTTATCGTTTGGTTTCTGCGTATACCTCTCTCATTATTTACACTACATGCATGAATCGGAGGCGGGGTTTAGCCACACTATTACGGCATAAAGTGGCACATTCCACAACCTGTCATTTTGGCAGATTGACTTCAATATAAGCTGTTTTTAGACTAACGAGGAAGTTTTGAGTTCTGAAACTTACAGGATTTTTTTAATGGTACAATGACCTCTTATATGTCAAAAGATCAAGGGAATTTTGATTTCTCGGTTCATGACCCCTTTAACATCATAACAGCATATTATATGCAAAATGTATAATTTAACAATACGTACCCATTGAAGTAAGAGCTGAATTGCAGGTTTTGGAGTCAATGTCACTTAGATATTGATAAATCTTGTCAAAATTCACAACACTCTTCAGCATTCTTGGTTTGCATAGGTAATCATGATCTAACAGTTCCAAATTAACTTGATTGTGCTTATTTGGGGAGACTGACGGTGACACTGGGCCAGTGGAAATAGGACTGGATGCTGTTGGTTCTGCTTCTGACTGCAGTTGGCTTGGGCTTCTTGTTATCTGTAAGGATCTTGGTGTGGGTGTTTCAGGCATTTTAGGCACTAGTGAACTGCCTGATGTATTATCGAGTTGGCTAATATGATCAGCAGCATTAGAACTAGAGTCAGGCTGAATAAGAGATGCAACTGAGGGAGAAGAAATGCTGGAATTTGGGCTCATGTCTGAGGTAGAAGGCCGAGATGGGGTTTTAGGGGACTGAACAGGGTGTTGACTGGAGAAAGCAGGTGTTTGTATGATGGGGTGTGGAGGATCAGAGTGCATCAGGCCACAGGGCTCAATGGCAGCAATCACAAGCATCTGATGACAAAGTAAAAAACAAACTGAAATTGTGTAACATTTTATCTGCTATAAGCGTGATTAAGATGATAGAGGCCATAAAAGAAGTCAAATATTGTACACTGTAACTGAATGACAAGTATTAAGTACTTTGTTCTCTAGGTGTGCTATAAATAGGAGTCATAAATAAGCATGGTAAGAGAATGACAGAATCAGTTGCTGATATTACATTTTCCCACAAGCTCTATAAAGCCATGTGTAGTCAGACTAAGGCTGAGAAATTATTGAGGTGAACTTGTACAATTCTTGGTGCGGTGTGGAAAAAATAGAAAAAAAATGAACGTTTGGTTTAATTTTTTCATTTGCTCCATATGGTCTGAATTTAATTGTGAAGCGTTACACGGACTGGTGTTATTTCTCAAATGTCTCATACAGACCTGGGAAAAGGCAGAAGAAATTGTCTTCTCATAGGGTCTAGAGATTTTCTGTACCAGCTCTGCCCACAATTCAACGGGAACTTTAGCTTTGCGCTCCTCTCTCCTCTGACTCTGGACCTGTAGATACACCTTCTGTAGCACACGTGACTTCAGGGTCATTATGAGGTCTTCAATCTGAAACCAAACAGTGCTAACACTTACATTACAATGGACACGTACGTACGTGCATGTTCATCCATATTAGAGATATTTTGGTGTCGATGAGCTTACCTCTTTGAGAGAACGTTGGGGAACTTTCTTTTGAATCTCAGTCAGATCTAATGCCGATTCAAAATTCTGCTGCTGTTTCAAAGCTTGCAAAAATTTCTGAAGATCTTTGCGATTCCATCCTTTGTAGAGGGATCTGGCACTCACACTCGACTCTTCCTCAGTGCTCTTAATCAGAAAGCGCGACGGTCCAGTTCGACGACGAAATGGAGGTTTCATAGTTGCCGATTACATAAAAGTCATATCCCACTTACTTCCAAATTGCCTGTTGTATGAAAAAGAATATGTCCACATTTAACAACAAAGTTTAAAACTTGCTTTTAAAAGATCACACTTTCCTTTGAGAAAATGTTTTCAACTTTCCTGTTTTAGAGATCTAAGTGGTGGAAATTCACCTTAAGTTCTGGAGTATATCTAATCAAGGTTTATATATGTTTTGATTAGGTGAATTATAGGGATGTCAGAAAGTCTAATTTGATAAGCTAGATCAGGGATGGGCAACTTTGATAGTGACGAGGGCCAGCATGTTTTCTCCTTTATACCAAGGGGCCAGATTACTAATCCACGTCCACAACCGTCTAACTCAATTTCCTTTTTATTGAAGGAAATGGAAGTATAACTAATGTCATTTGTTTTAAAGATTTTATTAAGTATAAAACTTGTGCAGTTATGCTAATTCAGAAGGAAAACTTTGTTGTCAGTGGACAGAAATATTACCCCGACAAGCCAATGTAAACATTTCAATTGCATTGTCTGTAAATTTGCAACAAAAAATATACAGAGGTTCTTTTTTTATTAGTAGCCTACAGAACATTCTCAAAACAACCTAAAAGGACAGTTAAAAAGGGCTTAATTTAAAA